GCAGAAGGCGGCCTCCGCTCCCCCTTCGCAGAGCCCAGCCTCAGCGCTGCGAGAACTGAGCCTTTCCTTCGCAGCCTCCACGCAGAGGGGCCCCTCTGCAGCCGGGGACGTCGCCCCGGTGTGGGAGAGCCGGCCCTTGTGCCACATTTTCGGGCAGCATTGAGCAAATGAGAGCTCATTCTGTCGTCACCAGTGGGCCAAATGTGTGTCCTGAGCCTCGACACCCGGAAGCATTCCTTTGCCCAGCCTTGCCCTGTCATCCCGAGGATTACATTTCAGGCCGTGGGCCCCGCTCGGATCTTTCCGGTTGGCTTAGTTTTTGCGTGTGTTTATTTCGATCCTTTCCGTTTTCGGTTGAGTTACTGATTCGGCTCACATGTATTGTGGAAACATTGTAGAGCTGTTAAACAGATGTAACACCATCCCACACAATAGACTTTCAGATGGTTGGTTTCAAAAACCCTGACTCAGGTTTTTCTTTAAAGAGATCTCTAAAAGTCACAGGGGATTTTTATCTGGTAGGTTGTAAAAATTCAACCAGGAGATTATCAGAGGTTACGAAAAATGAACCGGAAGGAGAAAAAAGGAAAATGGAGAGAAGAACAGGGATGAGAAAGCATGCTCTGGCTGGGGAGAAACTGCAGGATTGATTTAGTGCTCAGGTCTGGAGATTATGGCTCCTCTATCAATTCCGATAGCAGCTTGAGACAGTGCTTGAGGCTAATGGAAGGAAGAGCCCTTTTGGGGTCGTGTAAGTGATTACTCATCTTTGCCACTAGAGAGATTTCCACTCCATGGATGACAAGGACACCAAGGAGAATTACTATCCTCTTAGAAAGGGAATCATTCAGAGGTTAATTGAACCTGAGAGGCATATATTTTGTGATGGAAACGGACATTTATTATATTCTGCCAAATTAGGCTTTCTCCTCTCAGACTGTATGGGGACTTTTTCAGATAAATTGTCAAAACAAGAAGCTTTATGTTTGGACATTGACAAGCAGTTATGATTTATACAGAACCCATAATTCATAAGTTAAAGTATTAAAGTAGTAAATCCAGGTTGGAAAGTAAACACTTCACGGTACTTTCACTACCTGTTCCTGAAATGTAAAGACGGTAGGTGTATTTATTTATTTATTTAGGGAGATTTTTGCTATAGGGCACAGGTGCTCACGAGAGAAACAGAGACAGAGAGAAAGCAAGAAATCATCCCTGGGGGATGGCCACACCCCAATCCCTTCTCCATTTTGCTTGTGGGATTTTGGGCACACTTGCACTCGTGTCCGGCATGAGTTTAAGCCGCTGAGTCCAAGACTCGAACTATGGTCGACTACTTGCGAGTCCAGTGACATAACCATTATGCCATCTGCCGGAACTACAGTAGGTGTATTTTTAGGCAAACTTCTAATATCAGCAGTCCTTCTGTATACAGTGTTTTTCAAATTCTAGTTTTCAAACAAGTTAGTTCACTAACTCTAGTTAGCAAAGTGACAACGGGTCTTTTCATCCAGGCTACAAATATAGGGATGTGCAACAGTGATGTAATCGAAAGTGACAAGATGAAAAAACAAAACAGGAATGGCTCCATGTCCTGGTGATTCAGGGAGCCAAATCCCACATGGGTGAGTAGGAGTTAGTCTGGTGGCCCCAGGAAAGGGACCACATATGTGTACATGCCCCAAATCCCAACAGGGTGGTTAAGTGGAGGAGAAGGGATTTTGGTGTGACTATGCTCCATTGAATAGTGCTTTCTCTCTCCTTCTGTCTCCCTGTCTCTGTCTCTGTGGTAACCCCAGGTGCCCTCTGGCAAAATTTTTAAAAAGGAGGGGGAGGGGAACCCCAGTGCTCATTGTCTTAAAAAGTAAGGTGAAAGGGCCAGCAGGAGGTGTAGTGGTTAAGGGGCTAGACTCCCACATGCAGCAGTTTGAGTCCCAGACCCAGAGGCTTGAAACTCATGCTGGACTTGTGGGTATGTGTGCCCAAAATTCTGACAGGAGTATGGAAAAGAAGGGTTTGCAGTGTGGCCATCCCTCATCAGTAATGATTTCTCACTTTCTCTCTCTGTCTTTCCTGTGAGTGTACGTGTCCTGTAGCAAAAATCTCAAACAAACAACCAAAAAAGTAAGGTTAAAAGTAAAGTGGTGGGGCTGGCAGGTGGCATGGGGGTTAAGGCACTGGACTCCCACATGGTTGACCACAGTTTGAGTCCCAGACCTGGCCGCCTGCTTTCTCTCTGCCTACCTTTTTCTGTCTCTGTCTATCTCTAGGCAAACTGAAGAACAACAATAATAATAAATAAAATAATTCTTTTAAAAAAGCAAACTGCTGTAGAATAATTATTTTACCAGTAGCTTTGAAGTTGACATTGAAAAAGTCTTGCTTGAAATACTTAAAGAGAATAACAACAACAACAACAAAAATGATACTTAGTTTTAGGGGATAGTGTCCTTGTGAAGACCAGATAAGGGTGGAAGAGGGGAGGGAAAGGAAATAGACTACAATGTTTCTTTTCCCCCAGCACCTAGTACAATGTACATGGTAAATGTTGAATGAAAGAGAAATTTCTTTTATATAGAGACATATTTACCTATTGGAGAAAATACTTGAAGTCAGAAAATTGCTAATGCAATAGGGGTTGGAGGTGAATGGTTAAAAAAATGTCCCTTTTTGGGGTTTTCTACTATTGTGTTCCTTTTTCTTTCTTTTTTTTTTGGGGGGGGAGAGGTTTTTGCTATACGGCGCGTGCGCTCGCCAGATAGACAGAGAGAGACATAGAGACAGAAAGTGAGAAATCATCCCCCGGGGGGATGGGCACACCGAAATCCCCTCTCCATTCTCTCAGGATCTTGGGCACGCCCGACGTGAGTTTTAAACCACCAGGTCCAGGTCCGGGACGTGAAGCATGGTCGACTATGTGGGAGTCCAGCGACATAGCCATTACACCAACTGCTGGTTCCCTACTATTGTGTTTCTTCACAGGCATGCTCAGTACCTTATTGGGCAAGTGAAAAGTAATGAAGCCTTGTTTTAAGTTTCCCAGTTTATCAGTGAACAGAATCGTTACATTATTGTTTATTTTGCTGATGCTTAACTAAATGTGACAAACTGCTACATTGTTACCAGAGAATAACAAGGTAGCAAAGAAGGGACAATTGTAGCCTTTCATATTCTTGTTTAAATCTCTTGGCTACAGGGGAGTCCTCCCTATGGCAAAAATTAGCTGGAGGATTAACTCTTTTGGCTATATCAGAATTCAAAGTAAAAATGAATCCAGTGGGTTAACATTAGTTCATCCAAATAGGATGATGGAAAATACAGCAAATGAGGGTGGATTGTGTCTTCTAGCCTAACTATATTATAAGTTGGAGAGTGTTTTCATTTTTGTTTCTGTTGGTTTGGGGAGCTTTGTTTGTCTTTATTTTTATTTTCTTTACCAGAGTGAGGGTATTTTTCTGTCTCTCTGCCACTTTCTGAAACTCATAGGACTGTAGTAAGTAAAACAAATCAATCAAATGTCTATATTTAGTGTGTTTTCTTTTTGTCCTCCAAACCCATCATGGTCTGCACTCAAATTGTTGGAATCACGAGGAGTGCCATCTCTCAGCCCACCCTTATTCATATTTGATTTGGGATCCAGGACTTTGCTGTTCCCTCATCTCATGGGAAATCTTCCAGGATCAAGCTATGCCCACTTCTCTCTCTCCTATTGGGGGTGCTACACAATTTAGCACTTAGCCCTATACCATACCTTCTTTTTTTCCTTCTTTTTAAATTTTAATTAATAGTAGAAAGTGCTCCCATATATGAGAGAAGCAGCAGCATCTTCAACCTGGTCTTGCCACACCACAGTCCCCTTTCCCCAGCCCTTCCAGCTCGTCAGGCTCTTGGACACACACATCTGGCACGTTTCAGGTCACCTGGGCCTAGGATCCGAACCACTGGTTGACCATGTTGTTGTGACTCTGTAGTTCAATAAGCTACTGACTGTACCACCAAGGCTGGGCCTATACCATACTTACTTGTAGGGTTTTATTTTATGTGTGTAACTTATACCTCTGATTGGATTAACCCTTTTGGATCAAAGTCTGTGACTGATGCATGTTCTATATTTTTAAGCACATGTGGGTTTCAATGTGTATGTGATCATTTAAAAAGGATAATAATAAAGAGACGCTAAGCCTTTAATCAGGATGACTGCATTGATTTCTAGCAATACCACCTTGGCCAAGTCCGAAGCTATTATTTCCTCATTGATACCTGGGGATAATAAAACCTGAAATGGTCATCTAATATTCTAGGTGTGAGGATCTAAATAAATTAAATGCAATTATAGATAGGAGTGAAATTATCTTGCATATTGTAAAGAGCTTTTGAAATGTAAAAGATTGTTATTAATTCAGGTATAGAGCAAACATTTAATTGATTGTCCACAATGTGTTAGATGGGTTCTAAATTTCAGGGCAGCTATTCAAAAAAGGGTGACTAGGAAAGGATCGGATGTATTGAGTGTGAGGGCAGGAGAGCTTCCTAAGCAGAGGAACAGCTTGGGCCAAGGCGTGAAGACTCTGGAGGACAATTATGAGCA